TTTCTAGAGCTTTCAATTGTGCTGTTAATTCTCTAGTGTGATCATTCTCCTGTTTCTTCATATAGACATTCAGTGCTATGAACTTTCCTCTTAGCACTGCTTTCAAAGTGTCCCATAAGTTTGGGTTGTAACCGTATTCTCATTGAATTCTAGGAAATCTTTAATTTCTTCCTCTACCCGGGAATTGTGCAATAGGACGTTATTTAATTTCCATGAGTTTGTAGGTTTTCTGCAATTCGTGTTGTTATTGAATTCTAACTTTAAAACATTGTGGTCTGATAAGATACAGGGAGTTATTTCAATTTTTTTGTACTTGTTGAGGTTTGCTATGTTGCCAATTATGTTGTCGATTTTAGAGAAGGTTCCATGTGGCGCTGAGAAGAAGGTAAATTGTTTTGTATTTGGATGGAATGTTCTATAGATATCTGTTAAGTCCAATTGCGCCATAACTTCTATTAGTTCCTTTGTTTCTTTGTTAAGTTTCTGTCTGGTGTTCCTGTCCAGTGGTGAGAGTGGGGCGTTGAAGTCTCCCACTATAAGTGTGTGGGGTTTTATGTGTGATTTGAGTTTTAGTAATATTTCTTTTACAAACGTGGATTCCCATTGTATTTGGGGCATAAATGTTCAGAATTGAGACTTCATCCTGATGGATTTCTCCTGTGATGAGTAGGAAGTGACCTCCTTCATCTCTTTTGATTGATTTTAGTTTAAAGTCTAATTTGTTGGATATTAGGATTGCTCCCCCCGCCCCTGCTTGTTTCTTGAGTCCATTTGATTGGAAAATCTTTTTCCAACCTTTAATTCTTAGGTACCATCTGTCTTTGAAGTCGAGGTGAGTTTCTTGTATGCAGCAGAAGGAAGGATTCTGTCTTCCTATCCATTCTGCTAATCTGTGTCTTTTTATAGGGGAGTTAAGACCATTAATATTGAGGGATACTAATGACCATTGGTTGTTCATTCTTGTTTGTTTTGGATTTGGTGGTGGTGGTGAAATTATGGATGGGATTTCATCCCTTTTTGGCTGTTGGTAAAGTGGGGTTATCTATTGCCTATATTTTTCTGGTTGTAGTTAGCTTCCTTGGGTTGCAGTTTTCCTTCCAGACTTTCTATAGGGCTGGATTGATGGATATGTATTGTTTGAATCTAGTTTTTTCATGGAATATCTTGTTTTCTCCATCTATATTGATTGAAAGCTTTGCTGGGTATAGTAGCTGGGCTGGCATCTGTGGTCTCTTAGTGTAGGTAGAATATCTATCTATCCAGGACCTTCTGGCTTTCAGAGTTTCCATGGAAAAGGCAGGTGTAATTCTGATAGGTTTGCCTTTATACCTGACCTTTTTCCTTTGCTGCTTTTAATATTTTTTCTTTATTCTGTATGTTTGGTGTTTTGATTATTATGTTGTGAGGAGACTTTTTTTTGGTGCAGTCTATTTGGTGTTCTGTAAGCTTCTTGTACTTTCATCAACATGTCTTTCTTTAGGTTGGGAAAGTTTTCTGGGAGTTTGTTGAATATGTTTTCTGTGCCTTTGAGTTGGATTTCTTCACCTTCTATGCGTATTATTCTTAGGTTTGGTTTTTTCACAGTATCCCATATTTCCTGGATATTTTTGTGTTAGGGATTTGTTGGAGTTAAGATTTTCTTTGGTTGATGAATCTATTTCCACTAGTGTATCTTCAACTCCTGAGATTCTTTCTTCCATCTCTTGTATTCTGTTGGTTATGTTTGCATCTGTAGTTCCTGATCATTTACCCAGCTTTTTTATTTCCAGCATTCCCTCAGATTGTGCTTTCTTTATTGTCTCTATTTCAGTTTTTAAGTCTTGAACTGTTTCCTTGAAAGATTTGTTGATATCTTGTGTTCTTTGGTTTGTTTTTTCTTCCATTTCTTTAAGGAATTTTCTCATGTCCTCTTTGAGGCCCTCTACATTTTCATGAAGATGTTTTTAAGGTCATTCTTTTCTGCTTCATCTGCATTGTGATGTTAAGGTCGTGCTGGTGTAGGTCCCTCGTCTCTGATGGTGCATGACACAGTTTTTATCTTTAAAGGAGTGAAAACAGTGTAGCTGGGTGGTTTTAAACAAATGGTTAATTCAGAAAGAGGAGCAGGCTTGGAGGCTGGTCCAAACAGACAGGAGTAATCACAGGTAGAAACCAAGCTCTGAGGAGCTGGGCCGCTGGAATGTTCCTCAGAGAAGGCTGAGAAAAGGGGTCAGTGGGTGATGAGAAACCAGCCCTGTGAATGGGGTGTTAGAGGTTAACCCTCGAGTGAAAGAGGGGGGACCAGGACAGGAAAGGGCCTTTGCTGATCTCATCACACAATTATGTGTAGTCTGAACACTCCTGGTCACATCATTTAAATCAGGGTCATTGTATTGGGTAGTTTTCCCAAACTTATTAATAAATACTATCTCCAGAAGTTGCATTAGGTCTGTGGTAAGCACACTGCAGAGTTACCTATGTGCTTGGGGTCTGTGGTAAGCACACTGCAGAGTTACCTATGTACTTTGGGTGTGTGGTAAGCAAACTGCAGAGTTACCTATGTATTTGGGGTCTGTGGTAAGCACACTGCAGAGTTACCTATGTGCTTGGGGTCTGTGGTAAGCACACTGCAGAGTTACATATGTATTTGGGGTCTGTGGTAAGCATGCTGAGGACTTAACTGTATTTGGGGTCTGTGGTAAGCAGCTGAGGAGTTACCTATGTATTTGGTTATCTGCTGTTCTCCTGGTGCTTGCCTGAGTGTGTCTTCTGATGTCTTTCCAGCAACGAGGAACACGAGATGGTGGAGGAGCCCATAGACCCTCTCAAGTACGCCGAGCAGCTCCCGGTGGCTCAGATAATACACCAGGTTTGCTTCCCTTTGATTCTTTGGAAGAAAAAAGATTTTTAATCTCAGAAGGTGGTGGCTTTTGTTAGGTTTTCAGAGTCAGCGTGTTCTGGGTAAAAGGCCTTGTGGGCCCATGCTTCCTCCTTGGCCTTTACCTTACGGTGAGCGTTCCCATTTGAAACCCAGTATCGAAGGTGACCTGGAGTGAGGTGCTAGAGCTCTTTATAAACTCGGGTCATCTGAATCCCCTCTTACACATTGCTAAACGTCAGAACACTTCATTATGAACCACCGTGTATGGCATTGTTCGCAATGAGGAAGCTTAAAAGGAATCTTTAGTGTCATTTTTGGAGGAGCTAAGGACAGGAAAATGTCTTCCCTGCTCTTGTCAGCCTTCGCATCATCACATTTAATTCTAAATGTCATGTGGGCAGTTTGTTCATTTCCAGTGATAACGACTCTGTCATCCCTCCATGTACTGATCATCTGGGAAAAGGCAGTATTGTTAGCACGAAGCTTAGACTTTGTACTGTGACAATATAGACTGCTGGGCCAGAATCCAATCGCTTTAAACAGCTTGTTGACTAGCCTACAGGCCTAGAAGCTTCTTCAGCTTCTTAGAGATTGGTGGAAACACTAAGCAGCCTCATGCATCAGGACTACTCACAGTTGCTATGGATGCTATACTAGGAGTTTTCCAGTATTTTTCTTTTCAATCAGAAGAATTTTGGTTTAGTGTCTGTGGGTTGTTAGTAGTGTCAGTTTGAGTTTATTAAAAGAAAGAGGCTTTTAATTGAAAATTTTCACTATCGGATTAAAACTCAGCTTTAAAATTCTGCATGAATCTTAAAAGTGTTTAGAAATCTGCCCCTCTGAGGTCCTCATCTGTGTGTGGTAATCAAGTCCTGTTCGTATGTCAGGGATTCCCCAGGTTGACAGAGCTTAAATGACCTAACAGTCTGCAGATGTCACATTTAAAATTCTGTCTTCATGCCTGACTCTCAGCAGAAATGAATTAGCCAGCAGAGCAGGCAGCAAGTCAATATGTTCGTAACAGAGAGAGTGCACGCTGAAACAGTGTGCCCTGCTCAGAATAGGTAAATAGGATCTGCCCAGAGCTGGTCACCCAGAAGAGAACCTGACCGCAGAAGCAGGAATTAACCTTTCAGGCTGCCCACTTGAAATGTCAGAATGCTTTTATACTGTGAAGGAACCAGTAAACTGCCTGTTTTCTCTAACCACTATAGTGTAGCTAAACACTGAATTCAACGTAAAACATTGCACCCTGGTGAAAATTTTAGGCTGTCATTTTTTTTTCTAGTATAAGAGAGATGGTATTGATTTAAGAATAAATTATAAGTAGTATAATTAAAAATTTGAATGATCTATCATAAAAAAATCTCAGCTTTTTTTTTTTTTATGGTTTTTCGAGACAGGGTTTCTCTGTGTAGCTTTGGAGCCTATCCTGGCACTGGCTCTGTAGACCAGGCTGGTCTTGAACTCACAGAGATCTGCCTGCCTCTGCCTCCCGAGTGCTGGGATTAAAGGTGTGCGCCACCAACACCCCGCAAAAATCTCAGCTTTTAAGAAATTTTGTATGATAGGAGTTCACTTTTCTTAAAAATTAAGGTGTAGGCAGGACAGGCCACATTAACGGCAGATGTCTTATCCACTCCTCTGTCTTCTTCCTGTTGGGACAGCTCTGAAACAGGCGGCCACTATCACACTCCCCAGGCAGGTTCACTTAGTAAGGGATTATGTACTATAGGCAGACTTTTGTTTCCTGCCCACCAGTTCCCAAATGACCAACCCAGAGACTTAGTATTAATTATAATTCTTATTCAATAGCTCAGGTTTATTACTAACTGGTGCTTAGAACGTAAATTAACCCTTTCTATTAATCTACGCTCTGCCAAAAGGCTCATGGCCTTTCCCTCTCCAGTGTGTCTCGCTTACTGTCTTGTCTGTCTGATGACCCTGGTGCCGCCCTTCTCCATCCCAGCACGCCCTGCCTGGCTGACCCACCTCACCTTATCCTCTTCAGCTATTGAACCAGTCACAGCGACATATATTCATACAGTGTAAAGGAATATTCCACAATGTGTCTGACAGTTTTAAAAAGGATTTTATAATTTTTAATTATGTGTATGACCCTGTGTGTCTATGTGTGAGCGTGCGCACATGGGTGTAGGTCAGAAGAAGGTGTCAGATCCCTTGGAGCTCTTGGAGATCCAGAAGGGGGCACAAATATAGGGATTGTGACGGCCCCTGTGGACAGAACACACATGGCTGGGATTGGTCAGTTAACCTGGTGACCTGGGTGATGTCATGAACTGGAGCTCACATGCAGCAGAGAGCCCTCACATTTGTTCTGCAAAGGCGACTTGCCTGACTAGAACGGCAGTAACTGGGGAGGCTGGCATGTTCCAGGTCTAGAGCCGATGATCTTGGGCTGTGTTTGGCTCCCGCACTCTCCACTCATTGCCCGTCTGTGTCTGTGGGAACCCTGTGGGGTGTAATAGCCTAGCAGGCCCCCGCATCCAGCAACCGTGGAGCCATAAATGAGGAATATTTTGCATGACATAAGGAGCCACCAGCTTACAAGACAAACGCTTCTAAGAGACTCTTCATGAGTTGCTGGCCCTGTGACTCAGTATAGTGGGTTTTCTGAGTGGGCCCCGCACCTTCGCATCCCAGCAGAGGTGAAGGGGTTTCTTGCCGTCTCTGTGCAGGTGGGCAGAGAATAAAAGATGAAAGAGTGCACTCTATATATTCAGTGAGAGTAGTTAGTGCCCATCGAAGGCCAGGCGGGAATCCTGATGGGAGGAGGGCTGGGGAGCTGGTGCTGTGCGTGAGGCATGAGGACAGAGTTCAGATCCCACCTCAGCACTGTGGGCGAGAGAGAAGCAGAGACCTCAGGGGTTTGCTGGGCACCAGCTAAGCTGCTGGGAGACACGCAAATCAAGTCACATGTACCCATGAACACACAGACCCCCTCCAACAAAGTCAGATGTACCCATGGACACACACACCTCCCCCCACACAAATAAAGTAACATGTACCCTTGGTCACACAGACCCCCCCCACACGCGCACACACACACACAAATCAGATCACACTTTTGAACTCAGTTTGACAGTTCTGAGAAGGTTAAACAGAGTTATCACATGACCTAGTAATTCCAACATAGGCATAGGCCCAAGCGACTTAGAGACAAGGATGGGTACAAGGACAGACTTTCACTGCAGCCACCTTTGAATGAATTGCTGGCGAGCTGGTCAGCAGAGTGCAGCACATGCGAACAGCGGAGTCCCACTGAGCAATGAAAAGGACCGAGGTGCGATTGCCGCGGCATGGATCCACCTCACGTGAGAACATACACCATGGAAGAGGTCAGACATGAACTGTCCAGCACTGCCACGCCTGTAGGTTAGGGTGGCCAGATCTGGGAGCACGGAGGGAGGGCATGGTACTCCCTGCCAAGGACACAGTTTCCCTTTTAGAGTAATTGAAATGTTCTAAATGTATGTGAGTATTCCATAGCTCTGTAAATCAATGGATTTAAAAAGGTGAATGCTGTGGTGTGTCAGTGTTTTTAATAAAGACATTTGCCAAGTTAAAACCACCTATTCCCAACCAAGATGCTAGGAAACAAGGCATGTGATCCTCTGCTGCCTGTATTAAAGGCCACAGGGTAGCTTCCTAAGTGACGTGTAATAGACAGTGGTTCTGCCATGAGACCCTGTGCAGTGATGTGCCCCATACTCACTGTGGCCACGGCACACTGGGAACACACACTGCAACATTCACTGTGGCCACAGCACACTGGGAACACACACTGCAACACTCACTGTGGCCACGGCACACTGGGAGCACACACTGCAACACTCACTGTGGCCACAGCACACTGGGAACACACACTGCAACACTCACTAGAGGCACCTCACACTGGGAGCACACACTGCAACACTCACTGTGACCACAGCACACTGGGAACACACACTGCAACACACATAGCTGTCGTGCGACACAGGACTTTCAGATCCAGAAAATAGTAGAACAAATGGGGTTTTCTTTGCCTTTCCCTTTTTTAAATAATTGCATTTTATTTTTTATCAACTGAATGTTCTTTTCTTTCTTCCCGTTTCTGCTTGACAGCAGAAAATTTAATCCAGATCCTTGCAGAAAAAGTCACTCGAGTGAGCCCAGAAACTTCTCCATCTCATTTCTGCTCTCTCTGGGATGACGGGTCGCAGTGCAGGAATGAGGTCTCAGGGCACATGAGAGTCAGGGTCTGCCCTGCTGAAATGTACTGTTAGAGTGTGGCTTTGCCTGGTAGCCACTGATGCAGTATGCACAGCACATCTGGGAATACTTGTCATTTCTCAGTCTGTGACTGTGTAGCTGGTGAAATTGGTGAGCAGTGCGGGTACCCGGAGTGTCATGGTGGACTGAAGAAGAGTCTCCAGGGTGCTGCGCCTCTGCGTGCTTGTTGGGGTTGTCTCGACTGGCACTCTGGCTGGGATCCCAGGCTCTCTTAGCAGAGAGGTGGAAGTGAGTAGGAGCCCTGACTGTAGATACCATGTGACCAGTGCCTGCAGCTGCCCGGCTGTGACTGGTCCACACTCATGCTTGGTGCCGGGATTCTGAGCCAGAACGAACTCTTCCTTCCTGAAGTTGCTGTTAAGTGTTCCTCACTGCAGCTCTGCAGCAGAGATGGAGAAGGACCCCCTTGGCTGCTGCCGGCTGGGTAGGGCCAGCCTCTGTCTCAGGCTTACTCATTCTTCCTTCCTAAATGTTGTCAAGTGAGTACTGTTCTGTGAGTACTTTTGTTGAAGAACTAAACAGCATGTCTAAAGCATAGCAACACTGCGTGCATATGGTGCCTACTGGTTATTGCATCCAGACGTCTTTCCCGCTGCCTCGGGACTGCAGGGACCTAAGGGGTCTCTCAGGGCCACCAAGGGCCTTCCTGTCAAACTTGCTTGTGGTACTTTCGTAACCAACAGTGGTAGTATTTA